TGTGATGAAGTCTATTCCTAAGCCATTCGTAGTTTCCACCAGAGGTTGAGAGACCAAAGATGGCCCAAGTACCTTCCTTGGATGTCTGAGCGAACCCTCTTTACAATTACTTGGAGCCGCCTATGAGCTCCCCCTCCCTATATATTTCCTGGAGTCTACCTTGCTTAGATTGTTTTTGACTGAATGTAGTAACATTGCTACTGGATGTCTTGACAGGTATATGAAGGTGAGAGAGCGATGACCAAGGACAACAACTTGCTGGGCAAGTTCGAACTGACCGGCATCCCTCCAGCTCCCCGTGGTGTTCCTCAGATTGAGGTCACTTTTGACATTGATGCCAACGGCATCATGAACGTCTCTGCGGTCGACAAGAGCACTGGCAAGGAGAACAAGATCACCATCACCAACGACAAAGGTACGCTTGGTTCAGTAGCCTGCAGCTCAGTGTGAGGCTGTCTGTGATGAAAGCAGTCTGGCTTCATGGGCTGTTTTTCTGGATGCAGGTCGTCTGAGCAAGGAGGATATTGAGCGCATGGTGCAGGAAGCCGAGAAGTACAAGGCTGAGGATGATGTGCAGCGCGACAAGGTCTCATCCAAGAACGCCCTGGAGTCCTATGCCTTCAACATGAAGTCCACCGTTGAGGATGAGAAGCTGAAGGGCAAGATCAGTGATGAGGACAAGCAGAAGATCCTGGAGAAGTGCAATGAAGTCATCAGCTGGCTGGACAAGAACCAGGTAATTGTTCTGCCTCCTCAGTTGAACCTTTGCTCACTGTGTAGTGCATGTAGATGCTCAAAAATAAATGGGAGCAGTTATTGCCCCCATGTTTACTGAATTGGTTAGCACTTTATTACTCTTGCAGGTCTTGGTAAGAACAGTGTGGAGGTCATAGTAGCTCAGAATGGCGTCTGGTTTCTGATATGTCAATTTTCCTTTCGTGTTCAGACGGCCGAGAAGGAGGAGTATGAGCACCAGCAGAAGGAGCTGGAGAAGGTGTGCAACCCCATCATCACCAAGCTGTACCAGAGCGCTGGAGGCATGCCAGGGGGGATGCCCGAGGGAATGCCTGGCGGTTTCCCAGGAGCGGGGGCAGCTTCCGGAGGAGGATCGTCGGGACCCACCATTGAGGAAGTGGATTAAGCCACTCCACTGTCCGTTTTCCACTACCTCTTTATTTTGACAAGAGCAGGATACTTGAGCTGTCTGTGGTACAGGTGTCTTTAAACGTACATGTGGGAGCTTGGCGGTCCAGATGTTTTCTGGTGGTAGAGCACTTAATTGTTTTTTAAAGATGTCATGTGCCACAGTATTCACAAAAGGACAAATAAGACATGGGCATTTTTGTATCGGTACTGAAATTACTGTATACAATGTGTTTGTTCGACACTAAGTTTACCTTAAGTACTGTACCTGAGCAGTCCATTTTTTATGTTGATGGGTAATGGCTGTTGCATTTGCACCCCCACTGTTTCAATGCCTTGAAAGTAAATTGCCTGTTTCAGAAATAAAGAGTATATATTGAAGTCTTTTTCTCATGTTTGCTTCATATTGACTGTTTAAGGTAGCTTTTGGTAAAAGGACACCCAGTAGGTCTGGGTCAGGTTTGGGATGAGTACCCAAGTTGTAAGCTTTTTTTTGGGGGGAGGTGGGGTGTTTTCTCCCAGTTTTCAAAAGGTCCTTTTAAATTGGCATCTTGGATTTTGCCATTGCATTTGGCTGTGGTGGTACCTAAGAATAGGTAACCTGGTGAGTGAAGGTAATCCAGAATGGATTTCTGGAAGCTAGCTTGGAAACCAAATTACTGCTCTAGCAAAGGCTGGAGTGTTCTGGGATTTGCCTTGAAGGGTAAATGAGGCTCACATTCACATTTCACTCTGGGAATATGTTAACCAAAGTACTGCAAAACTCACATTTAATACACAACTGTAACTCTTGGTGCTATTAGCTATTTTTAAATAAGGCAAATGAATTGGAATATTGTAATTAGAGGGGAAAATTCGTGTAAGAAAGCACTGATCCTCTGACATCTACACAATCCATTTAAGACACTGGATATAATATGCATCTTGAATACCATGGAATCAGCAATACTATAAGGAATTTTGGTAATACTCATTGGAGGTTTTGCAAAACCTGGCTTCCTAAAAAGTCTTTTACGAAGTGAAAATCTCGCATCAAATGTTTTTTAAAAAAAAAAGGCCACTCTGTTCAGGACAGGCTGGTCCACCAGGATGTGTGCGCTAAAGCAACATGATATCCGCTGGGAGATACTGAAAGGCTTCAAGCAACCCCTGCTGCTGCTGCAGAAGCACGTAGGAATTGAATGTTTCCCTCACCAACATGGCTGCCGCGTCACATGGCGCTGTACGTGATGACGATTACGCGTTGCCATGGTTGCGGCGCTGTTGACATCTCTGCGCCATGTTGCCCGCAGTTCTGGTGAGTATTTCAAAAGCTATATTCCTGTACAATTGCAGTATCGGAGGAAAGGAAGTGGATGCAGAACTGTGCAAACATACTTGTCAGATTGAAAATGACTGATTTTTAAGATCCGCGACCTTGATTTGCCTGAATTAACCGTTTTATGTGTTGCATTAGGTAGCAAACAAGTTGACAACTTCTGATTTTTATGCAAGGAGTCTTGGCGCAGGGAATTTGTTTTCGTGATTTGTAATTCAGTTTAAAGACGGTTTTCCTCGGGTTTATCCTAAACTGGATTAACGTCAACATGTCGCTTTTATTTGGAACGCAGAAATGGATAGTTATTCGGGTATTATTCAGACACCAATGGGAAATTACGGTGCACAAGCGCCATCCGACTAACCCTAACAACCTGGAGCAAATCTGCCTGGAAGAATAGGCCAAAATCACTCCTGGACAGTGTACAAAGCTGTTGCATACTCACCCCAAAACACTTAAAGCTGTTGATGCTGCAGAAGGTGTCTCTACAAAATATTAAAATGTGGGGATTGAATTCTTATGCAAACAGCATATTTCAGTTTTTTTTTTAGTTTTAAGAATTAGAATATTTAAGAATATTTTCTAACATAAACAATGTCACATTAAAATAATTAACTGTGAATTCCAGTGCCTAGAAATAAAAATATCACAGAGAACTAAATTTTAATGTAGGATTTGTAATTCAGTAAAATGAGAGAATTGATCAAGGGTCTGAATGCCTTTGCAAGGCCCTGTAGCTCTGGATCACCTTCCTCAACCATGAGCTGAACCTTTCAGACCACCTAGGCCTTGATGTTGGTCTGTTATCTACTGAGACAAGTTCACATTTAATAGATTTTGCATGTGCTATCTAGCTTCACCTTGCCTGATGGGAAGGATGTGTTAAATCAGGTAGTCGGGTCACACATCCCTTTTGGCAAATTGCCCTCAAGTTGTAAGATTTGCCAGCAAAACTGGTAGATAGCTAGATAGATACGTTATTAATCCTGTGAGGGAAATTGCAGTGCCACAGCAGCCAGGGACAGTCAACACAGTACAGTGTAACAAAATGATACAATATTACAACAATGCAACACAATGCTGTTGCCAAAACCCCTTCCTCCACGGGTTTTCATGTGAGAGTCTCCCCTAAATGCTGTTTGCCTTCTTGGTTCACAGGAAACGTTCCCTATGTTCCTGGTGTAATTAAGGATTACTGTCGGGTTTGCAGCACCTGGAGGCTTGGAGATGAGTGTCGGCGCCAGTCGGAGGAAGCTGCCCAGGCCAGGGCACCCCAGCGCCAGACCAGAGGAGCTGCCCGAAGGCCCTTCGTCTTTCGAGGACAGCGTCCACCTGAGCTTCTGGGACTCCCTGGACTCCGACACGGAGAGCTTAGCCCGGGAGAGGCAGTACCAGTCAGAGCTTGAGAAGAGGATCCGTGAGAACGAGGAGGTGGTGAACCCCAACTTTGCGGGGGAGAGTGGGGTCCCAGGAGGACACGATCACAGCGGGGGGAAGGAGGAGGAAGAGGAAGAGGAGTGCTCTGTGGTTGACAGCCTTGATGAAGCTGCGTTTCGGCAGAAAGTGGGGAAAGCAGCTCCAGACAAAACCCAAGCACCTGATTTCCCCTTGAAGAGCAATCCCAAGCCCAGGTACAGTCAATTAACATCCCTTCTCCTGGGGAACCTCCGGAAACGATGACTTACAGTACGAAACACAAATAGCATAGATTTAACATGATAGAGTTAAAAATAAATAAAAATAACTTCTAAATCTAAGTTGAATGCTGGAGAGTAAATATGTATTAAAGCAACCTCATAAGACATCGTAACATTTTGCAGGTTTCCATGCATTCAACATTGCATGATAATGAAAATTGTTTAATACACAGCAAACCAGGGAACACAGTGGCACAGTGGTTAGCATTACCAGTTGTACAGGATTAAAAATAGACTATTACGTGGGAACACAATTTTCTGCGTTGTTCTCTTATCAATACGACCAGTTTTTTTCTTGTGCACACCTTTTCAGGCCAATCTCTTAGCTCATAGTGGTAATAATGCATTTGGCCACTAGATGACACCATCGTGACTTTAAACTTCAATTCGTGATGTGAAATCTCTGAGAACTGTCTTGTTACTACAGAGGAGGTGCTGATTTGTTTACTGTGCAATGTGTCTTCATATCGTTTGTACAATGCTCATAAACTGTCTAATCTTTAAAGTTAACAGGGCAAAATCTATATTAATGAATAGTCTTCCGATGAAGAAGCTGAAATGTTTTTTTTTATTTAAAGAAGATGAAAAATAATTTTGGCCCATGATGAAAGTCTGTACATCAGGTTGAAAAAAAAAATGCTGCTCCCATTATTAATGAATATCAGGGCTGGTGTGATGATTTGCTTTTGCATTCTTTTGCAATATTGGGTGCTTTAAATAAACTTGGTGTAAAATCACTTGAATACTTTTTAAAAACAAGTGAATTAAACTTATATTATTATAGTATTGCTGTACGTTTTTATAAGGTTTCCTAAGGTTCTCCCCCTTCTATTTAAGTTTCAGAAAAAGGCATTGAGTGAAAAGGGTAGAATAATGTAATATGTTTAAAATATCTGCAAAGCTGTCTACAGTACAGTATGTGCTCTGTATACACTGTACTGTATATTACAGCTGCCATTGAGTTGCTTCTGTGTCATTTATCTCAACACACACTTATTACTCCTTTGCCTGTGTGAACCGAGTAAAAGAAAGCAGATGGTGTTCCTGCCCAGTCTATCTCCTGGCTGATTGCTTCTGAGACTGTGCAAAGTGGCTCACAGGTAACCCTCTCTGCCTCCCTCAATACACCGAGCGCTGAATTGACAGGCCGCTGCTGAAGCCCTAACAGTGCCAGCTGTGATGTGTTGCCTAATGCACAGCGTGAACCGTGCCTGTTAAACCTGCGTAAAAGCACACTTCAGTGGAGCCGGGCTCCAGCTCGTGGCTCCGCTGAAGAACGTCGCCAGCTGCCTCCCTCTGTTTCCCAATCTGTAGGTATTGATTCCCCGGCAGGACCCTGCAGTCACACGGGCCCGGGAGTCCCGGCGGGGACATTTCATTTATTAATTTGATTTTCTTTTCATTTCACGCGAGTTAAAGAAGAAATGATACGTGCAAAGGTAGACTGCATCCTTCTTAAGCAACGGAGCCTGTTGTGTACACCCTGCCGTTTCTGGGTACTGGGATGAACCGTATTCTAAGTACATGCACTGGGTTTTGTTTGGTCTCTTCCTGGGGTACAACCAGCAAAGTATGTTTTGTACATAAGCTTAGTTTATGCATAGTTAGAAAAACCTCGAAGATTTCGATATTTCACTGTAAAAGAACACCTTTTATGCAGACAGTATCAACTGGCAGTTGTTTGTGTCGTCCTTCATTTGCGCAGACAGTTGTTTCCTTATTGGTTGTTGATTCTTGTTCTGCTGGCTCGTGTGTGTGGATGGATGGGTATTACTTCTTAGAGAGGTTGTTAAAACATCTGAAAATAGCTGATCTGCCAAAAGATCCTGATGTGTGATATCCCAGTGGAATGATCCGTCATTGTGAGATTTCTATCAGGATGTGATTAGCGTACGAGAAAGAGAGGGGTACTGTAGATGTTTGTTTTTCCTCATTCCTGTTTTATTTCAAGGTCAGTGCAGTTAGTTGTGCCAGATTCATATCTGGGTATGCTTTGTGGCTGTTATCCAGTCTTGTTATTCTGTCAAATGTACCTTCAAAGTTAGCAGTTAGCATAATACTATTGACTATTTCATTCAATGTTGCAGATACTGCAGCTTCTTATACAGGCTCTCTGTTATAGTTATATAATTATCCTTCTGTACATATATTATTTTATGTATAACACACCAAGGAATTGTATGTTTCTCAAGTAGCCAAAGCAAAGATAAAGTGGGACTTTAAAATATAATATCGCAAAATTGGATGCTTTTAAAAGTGCTCAATGTTTATGATTCAGCTCACATACATGTTTATGACAGAGGCTGTACCACAAAATGACAGTAATTGTTTCTAGCAGAAAAATAGCACAGAATAAAGTCTTTGTTCAAAATGTATCGCATCAACATTCAGACAGGCTCAGCAGCATGCTGCTCCTAATGAACAAACTGAAGCTGTTTTGTAATTGTTCTAGAATGAAATAACTGAAACCAATTTACAGTACAATTATATGGGAAAAAGCCTTAACTTTAGCTGTATTAGAAGTGTACTTCTTCATATTTATGGGGCTAATGAATTATAAACTGAGAATAATGTTTCTGTTGGAGGAATTTAATGAGGGCTAAACCGATAATACGATGGTGGGTTTTTTTTTTTAATTAACCACAGAACACTCTTAAAATAATGTGGCATTTGTTGCTAAATAACAAACAAAGGATAAATGATTAACAGCAGGCTTTTATTCACCTACTCGACCATCGCAAGGGCCAGCGATTGAATATGTGGTAAGTGCTAGCGACATAATTGTACGGGAAGAGAACTCTAATTTGAGCCCGTTCTGTGAGGCCGGCTCCATTTAATGGAAATTTGATTTCATTTTGTTTGATGTGATCACAGCAAGCACTCGTGGTGCGGTCCATTAACACGCGCACGCTTCTTTTTTTTGCATAAGCAGCCGAGACCCTCTCTGGAATCTGAAGTGAGGACCCCACATCTGTTTCCAGTCCCCTAACAGAAGTGTCGTGTATCTATTGTCCGCACAACATTTATTTCCAAACGGAATAAAGAGACATTCGTTGGGTTGTTGTTTTTTTTTGTGTGTGTGTGCGTGGGTGAGAGCTCGTGGAGGGGCACTCCACACTCGTTTTGTCCCGACGCAGTGACCCCCCGGCGCGCACACACCATGGGGCCCACTTGCACACGGCGCGGCACAACATCCCTCTCCAGACTCATATTCTCACCGCCCCGTCGCTGAGTTTACTCGAGAGGAGCCACTGGGAAACCTCACTGCTCCGCAGAAAAACAACTCTGAGACCCGTAGGCTTCATATTGAGTTTTTTTTTGTGTGGGACAGCTCGTTGAAGAGCGCTGCCATGTGTCCACCCGTTTTGTCCGTCAGTCCCTCCTTTCTAGGAGTCTGGAATGACCCATCAGCGAGCCAGCTCGTGGTTTTCCTTTCTGT